AACTAGCCATCTTTACATAGCACCTTTCCCGAGGAGCCAGAGTATTCTGTGGGCATCGTTTTAATAATCCAGGAGGAGTGTGCGAGCCTGGGGGGCTGAGCCACCAAGCCCTGTACTCTGAGCATTAGTTAATATTTTGATGATTTGTCCTTCAAAGGATTCTTGGCCTTCAGGCAAGCAACGGACTGCAAGCTGCAGGATTAGCTAGTAGCTCAGTTTCTGTCACGGGTGACCTGGGTCCTGAGCCGGCCCCGAGGCCTCCGTGCACTGGCCCCGCTCGTGGGCAGGGTGGAGGCCTGTGGCGGGGGCGGCTGCTTCCTGGGGTGCGGCCTGGTGGGTGGGCCCCTGGCTGGCGCGGGTGTCGGGTGCGTGCTGGGTGCCGTCGCAGGGATCTGGGTGAAGGCGGGGACACGGTGTCTGTTCACGGCGTCGGATGTGAGTCTTGAACTTGTTCTACTTCTTTCTTTGGCTGCCTCGGCTTTCGGTCACATCTTTGTCTAATGACTGCAAGGGGGCAGCTGTGCTCTTTTCTAGACTGAAGTCTGTTTGTCGGGAACAGTACTTCACATTTTTGCATTTTTCTCTGTCATTAACGATCGGGAAGCAGAAATGAAAGCTTTTTTTATATGGAAAGGGTATCGGCTTCCCTTCCATCGCCGTCGCCGTTCACTCGGAATATCTGTGGTTTGTTTTAAACTGAGTGCCAGCGCCTCTTCTCGGAGGTATAAATTCACACAGGGCCTGGCAGAAGCTGCAGACAGGATGTTGACGCTTGAGTGTCTTGACTGACGGACTAGGAGGCCCAGTGGAGGTGCTACATGGCTCCAGGCGATCTACGTCTCTAGCCAAGCCTCTAAAACCCAAGGTCTGAAAGTGCTTGCTGGAGATTTCTGGGGCCTGTGGACCTACAGGGATCTAAAAATTACATTTTTTTTTAGTTGGAGGGACCGAGCGTATGAAAGCTGTGCCAACAGTCCCCATTAACTCCTGACTGGCCTGACTCTTGCTTCTCAAATCTGTGATCCCTAATCAGCCCATAGGTGCCACTAGGGACCAGCTTCTACCACCGATTTGACCGTGGCCTTCAGTTTCCTCACTGGTGAAGCGTTAGGCCAGCCAGCATCCAGGGAGGCCCTAGTCTCTGTGGGGCCGCCCAGTCACCCCTTGGGTCAACTTTATTTATTTCATGTTTATTTGGTACCTACTCCATGCAAGGCACCAGGGGGCCTCAAGTATTAATTTAGTCAAGGCATTTGAGGGAGAGGCCTCTTAAAGGCCAAGTGGCCTCTGCGGGAAAAGCCACTGTTACTCAATTCTCACTGAAGTCTTGAGAGATGAGTGGCAGTGTCTTCAGCTTGTCACATGTGAGGAATTTGAAACTTGGAGCAGTGTTAACTTAGTTTTGAGAGTTACCAAAATAAAGTGTTTTAAATGCACCTAAAAAAACAACACAAAAGACTTAAACTCTTTACACGATACGCTAGATACGTGGAAATGATTTTAAAGGAGTGTGGATAGGAAAGTGTGTTTTCTAGCCCATTCAGTGTTTATGGAGATCCTCTTAAACCTATGAAGGACGATCTGGTATCAAATAGTTGTGAGCTTTTCAATACCGATTTTGAGCTTGACTGAAGTTATTTATAATGAAGGAATAAATGCTTGAAGACACAGGAGCACCCGCCAGAGAATACAAGTGTCTGTTTTAGAATGAGATTCCTTTATACCAGAATTCTTGTAAAACACAAGGGGAAATACAACATAAAACGTGTCTTGTGCTTCCAAGAAGATGCAAACATTGTAAAAATCAGAATTAAGTCATATGAAACTGTCTCTGCCTTTTTGAAAATCCAGATGATTCTAAGCCAATTTTTTTTTTTTTTGGCAAAGAAATAGAATCAGTTTTTAAAAACAATAGGCTTGGAGATTCTCAAGTGCCTATAAAGAAACTACTGTAGCTGGGAGGGTGAAATGGGAATGCTGATCAAGTGCTTGCTTTTTTTGGATGTCTCAGTTTGCCGAAGTGAGCATAACGTAGGTGACAGTGTGAGCATCTGCAGGGCAGGTGCTGCGAGTCAATGCCAGAGAAGACAGAATAGTTGGCACACCGCTTCTAATTTCGTTGTTGTACCCAGAGCCAGAAAAAATATAAGTTTATATTCTTTTGAAGTGGGATGATGTTGTCTCTTTTTTTTTCTTGGGCTTCACACACTTAACACAAAGTACTCTCGGGATATTTGTTAAGCATCGTTTGACAACAGAGTGTAGGCTGATTTTTTTTTTCTCCCTATTGTGAAAAATAAAACTAGGTGACTTTTGTCTGATCAGGAAATCAGAATTCTCTTGTCATTTGTAAAACTTCTGAGATACAGTCTTAGAAAAGTTGTGAATGTCGTAGAAGCATTTAAAGCAGTGGTCGGCAGACTGTTGCTTTAAATAAAGTTTTATTGGAACACAGCTACCCCCATTCATTTGCATATTCCTGTGACCCCAGCAGAGCTGAATAGCTGCAGCAGAGTCCTTTAGGCCTGGAACCCTGAAATAGTTACTATTTGGCCCCCGATAGAAAAGGTTTCTGGCTGCCTTTTTGTAAGGTGTTGGAAGACCTGGTCGGCCAGTAGGACATCTCCCTACCTCAGATTATGCGTCCCAGTCTCCTGTGGTAGAACCACGGGTGAATGAATGAGAAGTGGTCTTGGAAAACATTTGAAAAGAACTGTGAGGTTATCTATCCTCTGGAGGAATTGTTTTCTTTTGTCAAGTGAGAGGGGCAACCCAAGCTGACGTCTTCAGTCCCTCTAACGACAGCTTTCTCCACTCGGCAGTTACCTCTGAGTACTGGAAGGGCTACCTTATGGGAGAGGCATTGGATTGTGAGCCGTGGGAGCTGGATTAGGACGAGTGGGTGCAGCTGGCTGTGAGGACACACTTGAGCTCAAGGAGGAAGGGCACTGGCTGGGGACTGCCCATGACTAAATGTGCCATCTTAGTGGACAATGAGTTCCCTGTCAACAGACATGTTTAAATAAAGGTTGTGTCTGAGGACTTTGGAGGCCCCATTCCAGCCTTGAAACTCTAATGGCTTATTTGGTTAAGGTTCTTTGTTTCCAGGCTCAGATTGTGATCATAGTTTATTTTGTCGAGGGCCTATTTTGGCCTCTTGGATGATTTTCTGAAAACATAATCTTGGTCAAATCAAAGCGGTATAAGGGAGGAGACTTGCTTCTTGCAGGCAGGGGATGGCAGAGGAAAGGGTGGCCGAGAGCCGGTCTCCAGCACAGTGGCTACAGGAAGGGCACTGCTTCCTTCTCGCCCCAAAGCCTCAAAGATGAGCCATCTGTCTTCAGCCGCTCTGCCATCTTTGCCTCCTGCCGGGGCTCCAGCAGAGAGGCAAGACTGGCTGCCGCAGATGTAGAAGTCAAAACAGGGTTTCGGGGCTGTGCTTTGCCGGAGAGTTTATGTTGGGACTTGGCTGTGAACAGCAGTTCTGGGTGAGGCCATGCATTCTCTGTGCAGCTTTGCTGTTACGGGATAAGAGCAGCCGTGGACAAGGCACAAGTGAATGAGTGTGGGCGTGTTCCAACTTTATCTACAAAGGCGGGCTGTGCGCCAGATTTCATCCCGGGGCCGCAGCTTGCTGACCCCTGACATAGACACTCAAAGTTAGAGCTGGCTGGAAGGCATCCGCTCCGGTTCTCTCATGTTTTAGAGAGAAGGGGAAATGACATGTCCAAAGTCACACCGTGGCTGAGCCAGGATTACGGCCCCGAGTCTGACATAGATTCATGCCCATTCTGTGCCTTTGCTCTGCCTCCGCTGTGCAGTCAGGCTCTAGCGTTTGGTTAGCAGGGGGCCACCGAGTGGAAGAAGTGCCTGCCTCAGGTGGCCTCTGAGTAGCAGCAGTGACAGCTCCAGGGTGGTATTTGAACAGAGGCAGCCATGTAGCCCTGTGAGCTGGCCTCCCTTTCCCCGGGATGGACCCTGTTCACGGTCAAACAAAATACACACCGCATACATTTACAGGGAGAAATAACGTCCCGGAGTCGTGAAAAAGAACTGGGCTCCCACAGCTGCGTCACAGGATTCGATCACTGGAGCCGGGAGTGCCAGGAGATTTGAGACAGATGTTTTCAGACATGCCGCATGCCTAAAACATTTCCAGGGGTCGGGCTGCAGCGGTGACTTCATAAGTGGAGAAACAGGGAAAGTATGCAAGGCGAGGACACAGGAGTTTATTCACCACGAGGTGCATGGCCAAGCTCTTTGCATTACATCTGCCTGTCAGGGTTGGCCCTTTCATCTGTCGTGCCCTCGGTGCTGCTCTTTGTCCGCCCGCGAATAAAGTACAGCATTGTGGTTAGTAATCCCACTCCAGTGACTCGACTTCAAATGTGGTTTTGGAGCGCATCCCAGAGCTCTGTTTGCTAAGCTTCCTACTCCTGTTTCAGAGACACCACTGGATCGCGAGCCGCGAGCACGGGAGGCTTCCCTCCTTCCTGCGACCTGTCGGGCTGTGGGCTGCTCTCTCTTTCCCCCTCTCGCTCCTTTCCTTTCTTTTTTTCACCTT